TGGTGTCTGGGTCCAATATAATGCTGCCGTGAGGTTTCTTAATTGAATTCCATGTTTCCTCCTGGGTTTGTTTGCTTTCCTTTGTCCTTCTGATTCTCTGAGAGTTGCTGAGTTCCATTCCCTCCTCTTTTAGTTAGTTGTTCTGACTTCTGTCTCTGGCTGTGTCCCTGAGTGCTTCTCTGCCTTTCTCTAATTCAGTTGCTTTACTCTTCAGTTCTAGTTTTTTTTTATGTTCTCTGTTTTCAGTTTCCTTGTTGAGTCTCTCAGTTTGTTCCTTTTGTTTCCTGGTCTGTAGCTTGTTTTCTGTGTGCTTTTTCCTTCCTTTGAACATGTTTAGCATCTTAGACTGAAAATGGTCAGTCCTTTGCATTAGTCTGGCCTTCAAAGGAGCAATTTCTTCTTAATGTTTTACTCCTAGCTGATCCTTCTATTGTGATTCTGTGTGTTTTGGTACTTTTTGTTGAACTTGGAACATTTGTTATTATTATTATTATTAACTTAAAATTTTGCCTTCTGTCTTTTGTGGGAAAGTTTTCTCTTTGGGTGCTGGTGCCAGGATGGCCAAATGCCTGGCTGCCTCCTGAAAGGCTGGGGCCCGCACCCACCGGCTGCTCTGCGGGATGAAGACACAGCAGCCCACCTCTGCAAAGACTCACAGCCCTGGGAACCGCCCAGCACAGCTCTGCTCCACCCAGCAGGTCGCACTGAGTCAGATGGACCCAGCGGCAGTGGGCGTGGCATTTTCTCCCGGGCACCACTAGAGGGTGCTCTTATCCTTAGTGTACTTTCATTGCTGATTAGGAGTTCCGGATGCTTGATGCCTGAATTCAGTGTGCATATGGGAGAGGGTGTTTAGCTGGCAGCAGATGTTGATGGTGGTGGGGCTCGACTTTCCCAAGGTGAGGGTGGGGGACTCTGTGTCTTTCCCTCAGAAGGGCCCCTGCTGGGGGCGGAGCCAGCCCTCTCCCTCTGTGTGGCTGTCAGTCTGAAGAATTGCCCTCCTGCCCGTGCAGCTCCTCCTGCTCCCTGTCCCATCCATCTCTGGCCTCTGAGGTTTACCCCGCTCTCTCACAGCACCACGGCCTCCCTTCACCCCTTCCTGGCTGTGTGGCCTGCAACCTCCTGTGGCCACTTGGCTCCTGCTTAAAGATTCAGGTGCAGCTTCCCCGCGGTAGTTACTTTTCTGTGTTCCCTGTTTGGGGTGTTATCCGGCCCAGTCCCCAAATGGCCGCAACAAGCGAGCTCCCCGAGTGTTAGCAATGGGTCCTCCCAGCTCTGTGCTGCCCCCTCCTCCTCTGCTCTGCCTCTGTCCCCTCAGCTGCTGCCTGGGGTTCTGAGATCTTAGTCTGTGCTTGTCTGTAGTCCCTGCTCAGGGTCAGCTGCTCAGGGTGGGGGTAACTGGGAGCGTCCACTCACCGGTTAGCTGGTTGGGGGGTAACCGGGAGCGTCCACTCACCGGTTAGCTGGTCGGGAGGTAACCGGGAGCGTCGACTCACCGGTTAGCTGGTCGGGGGGTAACCGGGAGCGTCCACTCACCGGTTAGCTGGTCAGGGGGAAACCGGGAGCGTCCACTCACCGGTTAGCTGGTCGGGGGGAAACCGGGAGCGTCCACTCACCGGTTAGCTGGTCGGGGGGTAACCGGGAGCGTCCACTCACCGGTTAGCTGCTCAGGGTGGGAGTAACTGAGAGCGTCCACTCACTGGTTAGCTGGTCGGGGTGTAACTGAGAGCGTCCACTCACCAATTAGCTGGTCGGGGGGTAACTGAGAGTGTCCGCTCACTGGTTAGCTGGTGGGGGGGTAACTGAGTGCGTCCACTCACTGGTTAGCTGGTGGGGGGGTAACTGAGAGTGTCCACTCACCAGTTAGCTGGTCAGGGGGTAACTGAGAGCGTCTGCTCACTGGTTAGTTGGTTGGGGGGTAACTGGGAAGGTCCACTCACTAGTTAGCTGGTCAGGGGGTTACTGGGAGTGTCCACTCACTGGTTAGCTGGTTAAGAGATAGCTGGGAGTGTCAGCTCATTGATTAGCTGGTCAGGGGGTAACTAAGAGGGTCAATTCACTGGTTAACTGGTTGGGGGGTAACTGAGCACATCCACTCATTGGTTAGCTGGTGTGGGGTAATTGAGAGCATCCACTACTGGTAAGCTGCTCGAGAGGGTAACTGAGAGTGTCCACTCACTGGTAGCTGGTCAGGGGGATAACTGGGAGAGCCCACCCACTGGTTACCTGGTCGAGGGGGTAACTGAGTGCGTCCACTCACTGGTTAGCTGGTCGAGGGGGTAACTGAGAGTGTCCACTCACTGGTTAGCTGGTCGAGGGGATAACTGAGAGTGTCCACTCACTGGGTAGCTGGTGGGGGGGTAAACTGAGCATGCCCATTCACTGGTTAGCTGATAGGGGGGTAACTGAGTGCGTCCACTCATTGGTTAGCTGGTCGAGGGGATAACTGATGCGTCCACTCACTGGTTAGCTGGTGGGGGGGTAACTGAGTGCATCCACTCACTGGTTAGCTGGTTGAGGTGGTAACTGAGTGCGTCTACTCACTGGTTAGCTGGTCGAGGTGGTAATTGAGAGTGTCCACTCCCTGGTTAGCTGGTGTGGGGGGGTAACAGCGCATCCACTCACTGGTTAGCTGGTCGAGGTGGTAACTGAGCGCATCCACTCACTGGTTAGCTGGTTGTGATGGTAACTGAGAGTGTCTACTCACTGGTTAGTTGGTGGGGTCTAACTGAGCGTGTCCACTCACTGGTTAGCTGGTGGGGGGGTAACTGAGCATGCCCATTCACTGGTTAGCTGATAGGGGGGTAACTGAGTGCGTCCACTCATTGGTTAGCTGGTCAAGGGGGTAACTGATGCGTCCACTCATTGGTTAGCTGGTGGGGGGGGTAACTGAGTGCATCCACTCACTGGTTAGCTGGTCAAGGGGATAACTGAGAGTGTCTACTCACTGGTTAGCTGGTGGGGGGGTAACTGAGCGTGTCCACTCACTGGTTAGCTGGTGGGGAGGTAACTGAGTGCGTCCACTCACTGGTTAGCTGGTCGAGGTGGTAATTGAGAGTGTCCACTCACTGGTTAGCTGCCCAGGGAGGAACTAGGAGCATCCACTCATTTTGTGGCTTTGCTCTGACTCCTCCCTCACTGCATTTCTTTGTAAGGGTCTGTCTCTCCCTTAGGTTAACAGTTTCCAAAACCAGCTGCTCGAGCCTTCTGTGGCACGGTGTGTATCTGCCACATCTGGTGTCATAGTACCCTAGCATCTGAGATTGCTCTCACAGAGATTAGGCCCTGGAACCCTTGACTGGGCATGGCTTTCTTATATTTTGTTATGCAAGGGTATGTTATAGTCCTTGGAATTAACCCTTTCCTGTCAGTCTAATCATCCAGACACTCCAGCAGAGAAGAGGCAGGAGTGAATACAGCAAGCGTTTGCTGGCTGCCATGGGGGTACGCACCAGGTCGTGGGCTGTGCAAAGGTGACCGCGATCTTATCCCTGCTACTCGGAGGCTCCTGCCTGCTGGGGGACACAGACGCACACTGGGCCTGTCTGTAGGATGGCTGGGATAGCTGCGATTGTGGAGGGGTGAGGAGAGTGGGGTGCAGTGTGGGGCTGGGGTGGTTCATTTGGATGGAGGGTGTGAACCTTCAAAAGCCTCTTGGAAGAGCTGCTGTCAGACTGTACTTTGAAGGAAGGCGTGGGTTCCTACAGGAATATGCGCTGGGGGACTTTGAAAGGCTCAGGTGAAGGAAGGGCGTGTGTGGGTGGGAGTTACCAGCTGTGGAGGAGCCAGGTTAGACAAACAGCTGTGCAGGCAGGATGGTGGAGGAGGGTGACTTGCCCACAGTGGTGGGGGCAGGGGTTCTGACCTGATGCTCTTGTGGGCTGGGGAGCCAGGGTAGGTTCTGAGCAGGGACAGTTTGGGCAGACCTGCTGCCACTGTTGGCTGACCTCTCACTGTCTGGCCAACACTGCCCAGTGAGGAGAGGGCAGGCTGGGGTGCAGTGTGAGAACCTGATGGTGGGGAAGACGAGCAGTGAGGAGTGAGGCAGGTTAGGAGGTGACTGTGGGGCAGGTGAGTTCGGCAGGTGTGTGGCACGTGGGGCAGGAGGGGCGTGGGAACAGCCTCGTGGCCCACTTCTTCCTGCAATGGCCTCTGGCAGGCGGATGCTGGCTTTGGTTAAGCTGTGGAAGGAATGGACGATGGGATTGTTGACTGCCGTCACGATGGTTTCCTACATTGTCCTCTGCAGCCCTCTAATGTTAACGTCCCTGGAAAACTTAACATCATCTGAGTGTGTCTTTAAACCTGGAGGCATCACTGAGTGTTGGAGCCTCGCGGTCAGTCCCCTCTGCTGGTTCCCACATCTGAGTGTTAGACCCTCGCGGTCAGTCCCCTGCTGGTTCAGACGTCTGTGCGTTAGACCCTCGCGGTCAGTCCCCTGATGGTTCCCACGTCTGAGTGTTAGACCCTCGTAGTCTGTTTATGGCTGGTTCAGACGTCTGTGCGTTAGACCCTCACGGTCAGTCCCCGGCTGGTTCCCACGTTTGGTCGTGGACTCCCAGGAGTTCTTGGAGAACAGAGCTGTGAGCTGACACGGGGAAGCAGTGGCAGAGTCGGCACTTCCTTGGTCATCCCGGACGACGGCAGCCACCCTCACCTCTTTCCCCCATTATTTCCTCTCCCCCTGCGATTTCATCTGCTGCTGATTCACCTTTCCTTTAACGCAAACACGGTGCCCTGCTCTCCTCCCAGCAGCTTTGCTCTCGGGGCCAGCTGTTAGGTGCCAAGCTGATTCCGACTTACGGTGACCTGTGTGCAGAGTGTAACTGCCCTTTAGGGTTTCCAAGGCTGGGACCTTTGGGAAGCAGTCTCCAGGTCATCTTCTGAGGGCCTCTGGGTGGGTTTGAAGCATCAGCCGTTTGGCTGGCGGTCACGTGCTCGGCCGCTTGGGCCACCCGGGGTGACCCAATGAGAATGCCCACCCGGGCGCGTGGTCGGCAATGAGAACACCCACCTGGGTGCGTGGTCGCCAGTTTTGGGCCTTGCCTTGAAAGGCAGCCAGTGAGCAAGGTTGCGGTGATGTCATCGGTGCCGAGTGACCCTGTGGTTCCCCTAGGCGCCGCTGGTCACTGCATTTGCTGTCGAGGGCTCCGAGCAGTGCACTGTGGCAGCCTGGCGTGTGGGCCGTGGGTGGGCAGTGCAGGTAACCCCCGGCTGGGCCCTTGGGCCATGTTGTGGTGTGGCAGGAGTGCCACCGGGGCCGTGGTGGAGAGTCGCCCCGCCGTCGGGAGGGAGCGAGTCTCTGGGTCAGTGGGAGCTCAGGAGGCCCAGGGAGGCTAACCTGTGCCCCTCTCCTTCCACAGCATCCAGCACGTGTACGGCGCTCAGCACCCCCCTTTCGACCCGCTGCTGCATGGCACGTGAGTCCAGCTCTGAGCCCCCAAGGCCCCTCTCGGCCGCTGTTTGGCTTGGCTGCCCGTCCTGATGGGGGGGGGGGACTGTGGTAGCTGCTTCTTCCTGCTGCCCCACAGCGTCATGGAGTTGGCCAGGGAGAACCAGTGCAGTTCAATGGTGGCTCTGTGTGAGGCGCTGCTGATGGGGCCGGCAGGCTGGGTGCCGCTGCGGATGCAGGGCTGCTGGGGGCCAGCTTGGCTGCCGTCCCTTGGCCGGGGACAGGGCCCCCTGGGCCTGGCAGCGGTGGGACTTCCTTTCCGTCCCCAGCCCTGCAGCCCCGCTGGAGCTCTGCCCCGTGTCCCGGCTGCCCCTCCAGCTCGGGGAGGTGTAGACTCGGCACCTTGCCGTGTGCCTGAGCTCCGTACCTGACAGGTGGGGCCGGGGTCGTGGACAGCTGCATACCTTGGGGGTCTTGTCTGAGTGTGTGCATGAAGGTCCATGTTCTGTGTCACGTCCCAGCCCCTCAGCTGCTACCTCTGGGACTGGGCGGAGCCTCAGGTGACAGTGTGTGTTGCGGACCAGGGCTGTGTGCCATCACTGCCCCCGCCCCCGGGCCTCCTCGAAGTTGGTTCTGCCCGATGGCCGAGACTGCAGCGTGACTACCTGCCTGCCACTCGGCCCCACGGAGGTCACTCGGTCCTGTCTGGGGTGTCTCTGTGAGCTGTCTGCTTTCCCACTTCCTTTTGGCTGGACTGACGTTGGCAGCGTGTGTGGCTCTCACCTGGGGTCCTTCCCGCCCAGTTTGGGGTGCTCCTGGTGCCTGAGGGGAGGCAGGTCAGGGCTGCCTTTCTTTGCAGCTTGCTCAAGCCCGCCCCCAGGCTGCCGAGCACGCCTGCGAAGGCCAAGCGGGGGAGCACCTTCCAGGAGTTTGAGAGCAACACCAGCGATGCCTGGGACGCCGGGGAGGACGGGGACGAGCTGCTGGCCATGGCGGCCGAGAGCCTCAACTCGGAGGTGGTCATGGAGACTGCCCACCGCGTCCTGCGCGACCACAGCCAGCGGCAGGGCCAGCACAGGCAGGCGGCGGAGGGGGGGCCCAGGCCTCAGGTAGAGGCTCCCGTGGCCCCCAGCGGTGACCCCCGGCTGGTGAAGTCTGTCAGTGAGAGCCACACGTCCCAACCTGCAGGTAGGGTGAGAGACTGAGGAGATGGCATGTTCCCAGAAGGGTCTGTGGAGGGCTGGGGGCCTTCCATGGGGAGACGGGGTTCCCATTATCGCTGACAGCGGGTCCGTGGACTGAGCCCTTCCATGGGGTAGACGGGGTTCCCATTATCACTGACAGTGGGTCTGTGGACTGAGCCCTTCCATGGGGTAGACGGGGTTCCCATTATCACTGACAGTGGGTCTGTGGATTGAGAGCCCTTCCATGGAGGAGATGGGGTTCCCATTATCACTGAGAGTGGGTCCGTGGACTGAGCCCTTCCATGGGGGAGACAGGGTTCCCATTATCAC